CTTATCTGCTGTTGAAATTTTCTGTAAATCATTTGTTATGATTTGTTTAATTATATATAAAAATACATGATTTGTATTCAGTGTTTACTAGTTGATTTTAGGTGGTTTTAGACTCGTTTCCATACAAAAAAAAACAACAAAAAAAAACTAGAATGTTTCTTCACAGACATAATTTTCTTTTATTATTTCTGCAAACTTTGGGTTCTCTTGCTAGAGATTTCAACGGGGACGAGTTTAGTGTTACGAATAGAGTAATTTGTCATATCCATTGCTGACGTCGCATTTCACTCAGTCAAAAGCTAGCCCTGATGATGGTAACAGTGTTACCGAAACTGATCGGCTATAACGAATAATAAAGTCTCATAACTCAATACCACAGGAGTTTACAGGAAATCCATATATAGGGGTAAGTACCTCGACTATAAATCCAACCATCCGAACACTGTAAATACGGATGTTTCAAAAATTAATATTATTTGTAATGCGGGACACACCAAGAAGAAGGAAAAAACGCACCATGTTAATCCCCCTTGACAACAGATACCTCGAACACATGATGAAAGGTCAAGTAAAGATAAACACCGAGAATAAGCAGGAAGAAAATTACAGAAACACATAGCTATGTTCTTTTTGTGAAATGTTTTTCTGAAACCTACAATGTATTTGTAAACTACATAACGTCAGAAGAGTATTTGGAAGCTAAAACACAAAAAGACTGCTTTTAGTACACACCAAATCCCTTATAGGAACAAACACCATTTACTATATCCTTTGTGAGTGTGGACTCCAGTACAATGGAGAAACAAAACAAGGGGGGAATACTCAATAAACGCAACACTTGAAATTATTTCAGGCAGGATTAGAATGAATTTTTTCTCCCTTTCATTAGTTATATTTTTGTGCGCCACCAATACCAAGCGTGGGGCGTGCGTATACCCGATTCGATATTATTACTCTCAAATTAAAATTCTTTTAGACATCATTAGAGTAAATTAATGTATGAGTTATTGGGCGTGGTCAAATACATCAATCTAAAGGGTTTGCCCTCCTGACTCCAAAACTTTAATTAAATCTCAAATTGGTGAAGAGATGACGGAGATATGAGCTAAAAGTTTGTACTTGAAAAATATCTCGGAGCCATTCAATGAGCCGCTATGCCGCCGCTAAAAAAAAGCCAAGACAAAATATAATTCAGGAACATAATAGACACACAAGGTTCTATAATATCGATCTATCTGCAATAGCCCATCATACAACAGAAGAAGACCATACAATAAATTAGAATAATACTCAAAAATGAAATATGAACCAGACATGAAAAATAAATATAAAACAACCCTTCTACATCAACCTAGCTGATAATACGCTCAGTGATCTTGGTATATAATCAGCAACTCCTGGATACTTCATCTTGAACACATTGGTATAAGTTGGCTAATTAATGTCTTAACTAGGGGCATCAACTCAGCCGAGTGATAACAAACCAGCTTCTCTCTCAGAACAACCAGCTATTATAACAAAATAAATAGCTCCTTTGAAGGCCTTCCTGTACATAATTGTACGTTATTAGCTGAAACATAGGATAAAACTAGTTAGTAATAAATATTTAGTAATTAGAAAAATAGTATTAAATCAACAATTAGACGTAGGTGACCGTATAAGTTACTAACCATGACAACGACTGCTATTTGGTTGCCAAAAACTTACTATAAGTAATGTGTAAGTCAAACCTTAAATTATATGCTCAGTGCACTCTAATATAAAATATGTATATACTACACGTATAAAATGTACACTGCAGTATTTAAGCTCCAAGACGTTGTAAAGCAACTTGTTCAGACTTAATCTTATGAGATAATGTTTCTGGAATGGACTATGAGTAACACTTCGCTCTACTTTGAAATCTCTATAAAAAGCTAACAGAAGGCTAACCTAATAATGGTTGGAGACGGCTTGAATGGGTAATGAAGAAAAACTTTAATATAAGTTTAACATAACAGCAAATGTACGTTTCGACAAGGTTTTGTCATCATCAGGTACCAGTCTCAAAGTGGGTTCCTCGTCATCGAAGAAGGCTAACCTGTTGAAGTTAGTGTTGGAGCATTAATGTGGCTGAGAAGCAGACAGCTTCTTTAAAATATGGACTGATGTTTTTATCAAATCCTTACCCAAACTCTTATTTTAAAGGCGATTTAATCACTGTCCTTCAAAACATTATTGGTAAGATTGCAGAAAAGACTGTATATAGAAGGCTTGTCTATCTGATTAAACCATTACTACCATCATCATTAGGTTGTTGTCAAGTCGAAGAGATGGATCAATAATTCTGAATTTGAAGCTGGTCAGAACACCTTGGAAGAGACTTCAGATCTGGAAGACACTTCGATTAGAGTCCGGTTGTCCATTCATGCTCAACAAATGCTCAATAATAGGCATCAGTGTAGCATGTATAAGATAAGTCATAGCCGCATAAACTACTATAAGATGCATCATCAAGCATGGAAGCTAGCAATCAGACTGGATTACCATTAACACTGGTCTGCTTCAAAGATCACTACTATCATCAGTCCTCTTAGCATGTACACCATGGATCTAGACCACCTTGACAGTCCAACCTGAGTTTTGAGGATTCCATTCTGTTGTAGAGAAAAGGTTTTAGCAAAGCAGAAATCGAAAAAAGGTGTAAATATCCTATAGCAGAAGTAAATGGTGAAATGACACAAAAATGCTCATTAATCCTGCTAAAGCCCTAACCATGTTCTGCATACTTAACAACAGACATACTAATGAGGATAAACCATTACCATTCTTCTCAGTCATTCCTATCGCTCTGGAAGAAACACTGAAGTACCTGGGAATAACCTTTGACAGGAAATTCAACTTTGCTAGCTACATTAATACTACGATATCCAAAGTCACTTATCTACTGAAAGTTGCAGCAGGAAATAGAGCTTAAGATTGCCACCCGCTTATGTTATATCAAAGTTTATCACGTAATTAAAATACACAAATGATCAAAGTTTTCTTTTGTACACAGTAAAAATCTATATTCTAAGACTGAATAATAGCCTTAGAATAAAGTTTTTAACTGTGTACCAAAAACATAGATTATTTGAGTATTTTAATCACACTTACATAATTACCTTGAATTTTAACCTTTTAATATTATATTGTGTATTCTGCCATACAGGTAATCAGTGAAAATGCTACACATCTAAATATGAATGAAAAGATACAAAACATGGGATATAATTTAGTCACCCCCATCAAAGTCCGATTACACTTCACAAGCCTTCAACATTAGCATTTCAGAACACCAACAACACTTAAAAGCACAATTATTCACTAGGGCTTTGCAGTGTAAGGACCATGCATTCCATCATTGAGTCACTGCCCTTTTTTATTGGATATTCCAGCCCTAGAACGATCCCACATGAATCAATCAATCATGCTATTGCCTAAAAGGCATCTCAGGAGACATTCACAGGTAAAGAGGCACTATATAGCCACTACTGAATTAATCTGTTACTAGCATATTTCAGATTTCCCCATGTGTAACAAAGATTTGGTACCACTGGGATCTGTGGAAATCAGCCTAACAGAGGAAGTAGATATTGGCCGTTAAAGCTACATTCCTAATGTCACTTACACATGTACATGTATACTAGCTCCTATGTCCGAACCTAAGCTAAGTCACAAATGTTGGGTTTGTTAGGATGTCAATTATCAGAATGCGAATTTGGGGCAATTTACACATAGACACAATCAGAGAAGGTTCAATTTCACAGTATACCTTGTTCAGGCATCAACTAATTTGACTTTTTCATTTGATTATCTTGTTTCCTCACCTGTTTGTTTTTTTTAACAATCATACAAGATTCAATTTCACAGTATGCTCTGTTAAGCATCAATTGATTTGTTTCTTTTATTTGATTGTCTTAATTCCTCGCCTGTTTTTTTCACAATCATAGAAGACTCAATTTCACAGTATACTATGTTAAACATCAACTGATTTGTTTCTTTTGTTTGATTTCTTTAATTCCTCGTTTTTTATTCTAGAAAAGATTTCTTTATTGTTGACAATGGTGACTCCTATATCTGGCCGCAAGTGCAAGAAGTAAGTATAAGTCTATTTACTAGCATCAAAATGGTTGTTCTGAATAAAATTTATCTGTAAATGGTTATAGTTAGATATACGAGTCCTTGATAAATGATTGTTTAAAATACGTTAATTTTCACCATACAGCCTTGGAGATAAAGTATCAAGAAATCTTTATGGTCTAAGTATGTCACTCATGACATTTTTGTTTTTGAGAACATAGATCTCTAAAAAAAAGTTTGAATAAAATGCTTTAAATGAAAAGGAATTTCTCTGGAGTTGAAGTTACTGTATTGGTTAAATGGTTCTAAACTGTTAAGCGTCAGATACATGATACGTAGTTTATTGTTACCATTACCTGTACTTTCACTAATAATGAAACTCGTGTCTTTTCCAAATGGTTAAATGTGTCTGCAGCCAAAGACGTCTGTTACTAACAGAGACGTGGAACTGTAATTCTATGGTTCGTACTGCTTTAAAACCTCTCGCGTGGGGCATTAATTGAAGAGATTCTACCTGATGTCTCTCCGTGGTTCAGCGGTAAGTTTACGAACTCACAACGCAAAAAGATGGGTTTCGATTCCTCGAGGTGGACAGAGTGCAGATAGCTCATTGTGTATCTTTACACTAAGAAAAACAACAACGTCTACGCATGTTTTGTTTTCACCGTATTTTTTAGACGAAATAGTTGGATGAACGAATAAATACCCTTTGAGTTAAAATGTAACTACTCTGAGTTTTAAATCACCTCATTTGTAAGTTAAATACCCTTTGAGTTAAAATGTAACTACTCTGAGTTTTAAATCACCTCATTTGTAAGTTAAATACCCTTTGAGTTAAAATGTAACTACTCTGAGTTTTAAATCACCTCCTTTGTAAGTTAAATACCTTTTGAGTTAAAATGTAACTACCCTGAGTTTTAAATCACCTCATTTGTAAGTTGAATACCCTTTGAGTTAAAATGTAACTACTCTGAGTTTTAAATCACCTCCTTTGTAAGTTAAATACCTTTTGAGTTAAAATGTAACTACCCTGAGTTTAAAATCACCTCCTTTGTAAGTTGAATACCTTTTGAGTTAAAATGTAACTACCCTGAGTTTTAAATCACCTCATTTGTAAGTTAAATACCTTTTGAGTTAAACTGTAACTACTCTGAGTTTTAAACCACCTCATTTGTAAGTTAAATACCCTTTGAGTTAAAATGTAACTACTCTGAGTTTTAAATCACCTCATTTGTAAGTTAAATACCCTTTGAGTTAAAATGTAACTACTCTGAGTTTTAAATCACCTCCTTTGTAAGTTAAATACCTTTTGAGTTAAAATGTAACTACCCTGAGTTTAAAATCACCTCCTTTGTAAGTTGAATACCTTTTGAGTTAAAATGTAACTACCCTGAGTTTAAAATCACCTCCTTTGT